AGAGCAGTCAGTGCTCTTAACTGCTGAGTCATCTCTCCAGCCCCCAATATAAGTATTTTAAGGAATTTTTTTTATTAGAAAATGATTGGAATTTCACTTCAAAAAAGAAAATGGTTTTCATTTAATAAAAAATACAAAGCTTTACTATTTCTAATTACTAAATAGAGGGCAGTGATTCTTAACTTCTTTACCAGTTAAAATTTAATTTTAATTAGGACAATGAAAAATAAAAAGTGGAATAAAATTTCTAGCCTGGTAAATCTTATTGAAATTTCTACAAGTATTGTCTCATTCAAAGAAATATTTTTAATTCTGTAGACAAACATTAGAAAAAACTAGAAGACATTCATTACTTTAATTCTCAAGACTGCATGTCTTTGCTAAGTACTGGTCTAGGCACTGAAAATGTATGAATGACCCAAAACAAAAATTTTTGTCTTTATGTTATTTGTTACTGAGCAGGGAAGAGAATCCTGAGAAAATTCACTAAGTTGATACCATATGAATCTGCTATTTTTTTCTATCTTGCCTTAAATTTTTTTAAATTTAATTTTAGGGGCTGGAGAGACGGCTTAGCAATTAAGAGAACTGATTGCTCTTGCAGAGGACCCAGTTTCAATTTCCAGCACCCACATGGCAGCTGATAACTGTCTGGTAACTCCAGTTCCAGGGGAATTCGATGGCCTCTTCTGACTTCCACAGGCATTTGCATGACATGGGTGCACTTACATACATACAGGAAATACACTCATAAAACAAAAGTGATAAAATATTTTAAAAATAAAGATTAATTTTAAAGAGTGGCATACAGGACTGGAGAGATGGCTCAGTGGTTAAGAGCACTGGCTGTTCTCACAGAGGAACCAGGTTCTCCCTCCTACATGGTGGCTAATAACCATCCATAACTCCAGTTCTAGGGGATCTGATGACCTCTTCTGACCTCTATGGGCATTGCATGCAGACGGTACACTTACATACATGCAGTCAATACACTCATGCACATAAAATAAAAATAGATAACAATTTAAAAAGTAGCATACAAAATAATAAGCTTTATTGAACCAGTTTTTTAAACTGGTATTTTCTTATGTTCATTCCACTGTTACTCTTTCTTTTCCCTGTTCCCCTCCTCTACTCCCTTCTTTCTTCCAAATAGTCCCCCTAGTCTATTTTATCTGAAATTTTCAGGAAAATGGATGCAACTGGAGGTAATCATATTAAGGTAATTAAGCCAGTCTCAGAAAGACAAATATTGAATGCTATCATTTTTGATTCCTAGATTTTCATGTAGTTACATAAAATCATATATGCATACAGAAGTAAAAATGCCTAGGGAAACAAAATGGATAAAATGGAGGAAGAGGACTGAGAAAAGGAAGAGTAGAGGAATATTGGGAAGATGTTCAATGTAGAATATATACCTGTACAAAATTAAAATAAAAATAATTGGCTTTTTCAGAGTTTGTTTTCCAGTGAAAGGAAACAAATAAACAATAAAAGCCATGTTAAACAAAAATGACCAGTATGGAAAAAGTTGAAGAGGAAAGGATATAATGGAGGCAGATGCTATTTTAGGTGGGAAGCTCAGTGAAGACTTCATCATCAGGTGGTGTTAAGCAAAGTTTTAATGTAAACCATGAAAGTATGTGAACATTCTGTACATTACAACATGTTGATTATCATTGCTAATGGAGTGCCACTTCCCATTCCCATTTCTAAGACAGATTTTACTGATATCAAGCCATTATTTTTTTCCCAAGTTTACCTCATTCTAATTGTCACTGGAAAATGTTGCTGACAACTTTCATAAATATCTTAATTTTTCATAGAGAATAATCATATGATTGACAGAAAAGGTCTTTCCATGGGTTTTCTGATATACAGACTATTGGTCTCATTTGCTCTCTAATCTCTTAATTAAGTCTAAACAGGGGAAAATAAGCAAGAGACTTTCTCAGTGTAGGGGATGGAAAGACACAGGCCAGTGTCCCTAGAATGCTCAAGAATCAGGAAGGCCAGTGTGAATGAAGCTCAGTAGGAAAGGGCCAGCAACAGGCACTGGATCACAGAGGCAGTAAAAAAAGATCAACTAAGGATTGTTGTCTTTTACTTTGTGTTACATAGAACAAGCTACTCTAAGTTTTCTAAAGATGAATAAAATGATAAGGCTCACATTTCAAAAGAATATTCTGGCTACTTTATGAAGAATTAACTGTAGTAGCCAAAGTAGAGGCATGTAGACTACTGCAAATGTCCAGGGGGTAAATTAAAGTAGAGTTACTAAAATATTTGCTGGGGGGCGGCGTATGAAGGTGATAGAAGAGAGAATGTAAAAATGGCTGTGAAACAACTCTAAATGATAGTTTTTGGAATGGGAAAACCTAAAGGAAGGAAATCTGTGTAGGAGAAATTAGGGGTTCAGTTTCATGCACGATCTATTTCAGGTGTTTTTTGTAGCTCTCCAAGTGTCCAGTTGGCAGCTGGCAGGATAAGTCTAGAGTTTAGGCGATGTCCTGCATGGAAGTATACAACTACAGAACAGCAGCATATACATAGTATTTAAGTCAATCGAGAAGATGGTTCAAGAATGATCCATGAAATATTCCAACATTTAGAGGTTGGAGAAATGAGAGAAATCACTAAAGGAAAAACAGAGAAAACAGGCAAGAAATGGGGATCCGAAAGAGGAAATATCACGTATTGCCAAATCCAGCGGTCAGTTTCCTTATCTAACACAGATTTGGCAATGAAATTATCACTGTTGAATTTAGCAACAGCAGTTTTTTGAGGTATTGATTAAAGCTTAAATATTTCAAGATATAGGGAAAAAGTTTGTGAATTTGTAATAAAAGGAGAGGGGTTAGAGAAATAGCTACAAGTAAATATGGGTTAGAATTTTTTTATTTTTTTAATTAGAAGAAGCATTTCATTACAACAGCATTAACCTATTCAATAACATTTTTTCTGAGCTAGGGTACATCTCTTTCAAAATTGGCTGTACATTTTTAGGTTTACAGATGAATTATTACTCTTATACATTTTTTTACTCATTATAAACGCTATAAGACATAAAATTAAATGAGGTTTTAATGTTTAAAAAAGATCTCCACTTTGTTGTTAAAATACACAGTTTCATACAGAAAAATTCATTTTAAGGCAATTGACATTGAGACGTGAATTTTTTTAAGATAGGGGAAAATTTAACATACTTATGTTTATACACTATTGTGATACATTGGGCTTGGGCAGTTTCTGGATAGTCAAACTTTCCAGTCTTATAAGAAAGGTTCTCTACCTCACACATACACACTTGTGTAATTATTTTTCATCCATAGTTCCTGGTTTATAACTCCCATAGTCTTTGTTATTCCCTAAATGATTAGAATAATAAGGTTAATGTTGTTTGGCCTTCTGTCCTTGGCTCCTGAAGCAGCTCTGGAACAGCTTCAGAGCACTGAAGATGAAAGACGGGCCTTTCTTCTAATATGGGGGCATTAGAAATCTCAGAAAACAAAACCCATTCATTTTCTCTTTTTCTTTTTCTTTCTGTTTCTCTGTCTCTCCCAGTTCTCCCCACATGTCTCCCTCTCTTTCACCTTCGCACCCCTCCATCTATTATAGAAACTAGTATTTCTCTTCCTCACAACAGGTCACAGAAATTAAAATTATACCTTAAATTTCCCTTGCCTTTTATTTTATAACTTGCCATAAATCAATTCTCTGGCCTTCCTTGTAGGCTAATAACCTATTTCAGAAAAAAAGACACTGCATACAAATTTCAGACAAGCAGTAACTCAATAATTTAGGATATGGTATTTATATTATCAAATTCATTCTGAGGGCACAAGTTGGGAAGACTCCATTATTTTATCTTCCAAAATCACTAACAATTACTCTAGAGTCTTCTATATGAGAGAATAAGATTAGAATTTACAATTTATTTTCGTGTTTTAATTAAATCATTTCTTAAAGCAGTGAAAATGGCCTTTTCATTCATATCCTGATGACGTAACTTCTACCTCCAGATGATACCTTGCTCTTTAATAACGAATGCAAAGTGAAAACAATGTAGTGAATTATAGTTTAGAAACTTCAATGGATTATTTCACAGCTTCCAGTTATTACTGTTTTAAAATGGTTGCAGCAATATAAAGATATTTTGTTATATAAACTACATACTGCAACTGTAATTGTGTAAAAATTGTATATTTACATAAATATTGAAAATGCTCACAACTGCTTGTAACTTCGGCTCCAAAAAGTATTGAAATTATAATTGGACTTCACATTCACTAATATGTGTGTGTGTGTGTGTGTGTGGTATATGTGTTTGCATATGTTTTTGTGTATTTAAGTGTGTGTCCACATGCATGTAGAAGCCAGAGGTCAATGATGGGTGTCTTCATCATCACTCCCCATCCTATTTTTATTTATTTATTATTTTTTAATTTTATGTATACAAGTATATTGCCTGCATATATGTGAGTACACTTGTGTCATGCAATGCCGCGGAGGTCAGAAGACGGTATTGGATCACCTGGAACTGGAGCTAAGGACTGTTCGTAGCCGTCATGTGGGTATTGGGAATCAAACCCAGGTCCTCTGCAAGAGTAGTCAGTGCTCTTAACCACTGAGCCATCTCTCCAGCCCAAAACCATCCTATTTTTTGAGACAAGGTCTCTTTTCTGATGCTGGAGCTCAATGTTTCAGCTAGACTACCTGGTTGGTGAGTTCCAGGGAATCAGTTGCTTTACTGCCCAATGCTGCAATTATACATATACACCATCATGTCTAACTTTGATGTGGGTTTTTGGGATCCCAAGTCAGGACTTTGTGCTTGCATAGTAAGAAATTTATTCAACGAACCATCTACCCAGCACCTCACTAATAATTTCTGATAGTGAAACCAATATTGCATACAAAATTTAAATCAGATGAAAATTGTGCAAATCATCAAATTAAAATTAACTTTCAACAACATGCATCAAAATGGAAGGTACCTTTGTTCAAACTTCAAATATGGTGTATAGTCTATCACAGCAGGGAAGGTGCCATCCAATCCTTCTCCCTTTAGGCAGAAGCTAAAAAAAGTAGACAGTAACTATTCCATATTAATACACAAATAAAAATTAATTGTTATAAACAATTCTTCCTAGGGACATTTCTTTCATTCAGTTGAAAAGGTTAAGTTTTTTGTTTCTAATTTTTTACTTATTACAAATAAGTACCTTAACATGGTCTTTGAAACCAATGACAAAACACTGTACAAGTTAATACACTATTATAAAAAGCATTGTTCATGAAGCAAAATAAAATTTACTGAGAAATTATTCAAACTTCATCTTTTTTATTTGACAACATCTTGATTTTTACTGGACATTTAAAATATTACTAGAGAATTTCAAACAAAGATTTGTTTTTCATATTTAGATAGCCCTATAGATAGCCCTATATATGCCCTAAAAAGGTCTGACTGATTAGCAAAAAAGAGTTTTCTAAACTATCTGAACAAGTGAAAAGGCTCAGCTCTTAGACTTCCAAGAGATGCTGAAAATCCTCAAATTACTAATTAATCCTCTTCTAAAACTACAAACCAAGGGAATGATTAAGCAACTTGACCACAGTAATGCTGTGACTCTTACAATGTCAACAAAGGAGATCTAAATCTTTTCATTCCCTAATGCTGTAATCTTTATTTCTGTATGATAACACATTCAAAAAGGTAGTGTTTGGTTTCATAATTACCGTTAAGAACTACATCTTCAGGCTGGATGTGGTGGTTCATGTCTTTAGTCCCAGCACTTGGGAGGCAGAGGCAGGTGGATCTCTGTGAGATCGAGACTAGCCTGGTCTACATAGCGAGTGCCAGCTGGGGTTATAGAGAGACCTTGTCTCAAAAAAAACTCAAAACACTACATCTTCTAGACTTGGGTGTGGTGAGGTACACCTGTTATTCCAGCATTTGGGAGATCAAGAGGAAGATCAGGTGTTCAAGGCTAGCCATGTCTAAATGACACTAGTCTCAAAACAATAACAAATACATCCTCTAGAAAGAGAAACAAAATACTTATAAAACAAAATACTTATAAAAGGCAGGTTGATTATTTCAGAGGAAAAAAAAGTCTCCTATGAATGCCTACCTTCTAGTTTTGTTCTTACGTTTGACTACTAAAACACTTGTTTCAATATATTTACATAGCAAATATGTATTTACTTTTCAGACTTGAATAAGGACAGAAATAAAATGGTATCATTTTACATGTGCTTTCCTTCATTTATACAAATATTAACATGTTTAAGATATTTGCTTTTACTTGATTATACAATATCGATGAGCTACAACCAGTAAGATGCCTGAGCAAGCAAAGGTGCTTGATGTACAAAGTCTAATGACTCAAGTTCAATCCCTGAAACCCATGTAAAGTGGGAGGAAAGACCTAACTCCACAAGGTTGTTCTCTGATGTCTATGTTTGTACGTGCATACATAGTCAGACACATGCACAGAAACACACACACACACACACACACACACACACACACACACACGCACACACACACACTGTGGTTTGAATAGAAATGTTCCTGTAGGCCTATGTTTGAGCACTTCGTTTCCAGCTGATGGCACTGTTTGAGAGTTATGGAATCGCTAAGAGATGGAGACTTGATGGAGGAAACATGTAACTGAAAGCAGGCTTTGAGGTTTTACAGCTTGGCCCTACTTGGCTCTCTCTCCCTGTTTCTGGGGGGGATTGCAATGTGATCAACCAGCTTCCTGCTCCTGCCATCATGCCTTCCCTGCCTGTTGCTGTCTTCGCTGCCATGACAGAATTGTAAGCCAATATAAACCTTTACTCCCTTAAGTCATTTTGGTCAGGGTATTTTATCACAGCAACAGAAAAGAAACTAATACCAAAATTGTTAGCAGAAGTGGGGTTGTTGGAGTGTGAACCTGACCATGTAGCTTCTAGACCTTTGTTTTGTGGCAAGAATGTAGATGATTCTGGAACTTTGGGCTGGAAAAGTCATTGAATGCTATAAAGAAGCTTAATAGGCTATTCTAATGGGAGTTTGGAAGACAGTAATATTAACTTGTAACAATAATGTTGAGAGAAATGCAGAGAGTAGTGGCCTGGCTAATAAAGTCTTACTCAGAGAGGAACAAGAACTCTATCAGAAATGTGATATTTTGGCAAAGAATCTGGCTGCATTTTGCCATGTCCTGAGAAGTTGTGTGGGAGTGAATTAAAAAGTAATGGACTGATTTCTTATGCAGAAGAAATTTCAAGACAGTGTAACACTGAGCCTATAGCATGGTTATTATTGATTACTCTTATACAGGGAATACAATGAAAAAGAGTGACAAGTAGGGCAGAAAAAAATAAAATATTATAGTTTGGAGAGGAAAGGAACAACAGAAAGCTTAATATTACAGCCAAGGCATGTGCTGAAAAAGAGACTGGAACTGTTAAAGAGATTAGTACCATTAAAGAGAGCCTACTGCTTTGAGCTGGAATAACAGAAACAGTATCCTGAGGGCAAGACCCCACCCATCAAAGGCTTCAAGCTGTGAAAGGAAAGAGCCCAATTGGAAAGTAACTACCTAGGGAAGTTTTTTATGCCAGCTTCAACATGCAGAAGCTCGTGTAACTTTGGTCCCAGGGGGCAAGGCTCCATCTGGAGCTGACAGCAGAATTTGGCATGTTGTCCATACTACACTGGTATTGGAGATAAAAGATGGAAGACTGAAGGGATTGCTGATTCTTCCTCTGGTTTCAGAGAGCCACTGCAGCCAGGTGAAATGAGTCAGTGTCAGAGTCTCTGTGAAGATACTCTCAGAGGTCACTGCATGAAGCTGTGAAGATGAAGCCTGAGTTATGGCAGAGACCCCAAGATGTTGGAGATGCCAGAGCTGTGAGATATCTGCAAAGGAGCACTGGGTATCAGGAGTGGAACCAGGCCAAGAGAGAGATGTATGCTGCAGGTATCACAGCTGCTGGGGTGGGGCAACCCAAGTGCTTTGAAACTGAAACTCCCAACAATGGACATAGACCTACATGATTTGGTGTCTGTCCTGCTGAGTTTCTTGCTTTGGTCTAACATTTCCTCACTATTCTCCATTCTCCATTCCTCCTTTATGGAATGGGAATGTATACTCTGTGCCATTATATACTGGAAATATGTAATTTGTTATTTGATTTTACAAGGTGTTATACTTAAAAGATTCAGACTTTAGTCTGTTGAACAGTGTTGGGGCCTTTTTTTCTTTCTTTCTTTTTGGAGACAGGGTCTCCCTGTAGCCCCAGCTGTCCTGGAATTCACTATGTAGACCAGGCTGACCTTGAACTCACAGAGATCTGCCTGCCTCTGCCTCCCAAATGCTGGGATAAAGGCATGAGCCACCAAGCCCAGCCCAGTGTTGGGACTTTTAAAGATGATGGGAACTTTTTTTCTTTTTCTTTTTTTAATGTTTTATTTACTATTTTTATTTTATGTGTATACGTGTATTGTCTGCATATAGGTAAGTGCACCTGTGTCATGCAATGCCCACAGAGGACAGAAGAGGTTGTCGGATCCCTTGGAACTGGAGTTATGAACAGCTGTTAGCTGGGATTCAAACCCAGGTCTTCTGCAAGAACAGCCAGTGTTCTTAACCACTGAGCCATCTCTCCAGCCCTTATGGGAACTTTTTAAAGTTGGAATAAATTCATTTTTCACCATGAGATGGCCATGAGTGTATGGTGGCCAGAGGCAGAATATTATGAAATATTATGATTTGAATATAAAATAAAATTTAAAAAGAAACAAACAGGGCTGGAGAGTTGGCACAGCTGTTAAAGGATCAGGCTTGCAACCAAAAGAAAGAAACAAGCAAACACATAAAACCTGAACTGTAAAGGATTTCAACAATGGAACACATTCTGTAAAGAGTTAACATCTTTTCAAGAATCAAAAAGCAACTTTTGGGCCAGCAATATAGCTCAGTGGATAAAAAGTGCTTACCACTAATCCTGATTGACTTTATTTTGATCCCTGGGACCCACACAGTAGGAAGAGAGAAAGGAATTCTGCCAGTGGTTTTCTGATCTCCATACTCATGTTGTGTTATGCACGTGCCCACAAACATACACACATACACACACACCAAATGAATAAATATAGTAAAAAATTCTGGAACAACAACCTTTATACCATATTATGTGCATCCTAAAAATCAAACAAATTAACCTAATTCTGTTATTAAATTATAAGCAGGAGAGATCTATACCTATAAATGATAAATATTTTAAAAAGTTTACTAGAAAAAAATGTAAACTCAATGAAAATGGCAGAATTCAAAAGTCATTTAAGTCTTGTTTTGTTAATACTCTTGAATTTTCAAATGCCATATATATAATAAAATATCCTTTCATTCTTGTTTTGAGTTTTTTACAGATAACTTTTTACTTTAAATATGACAAAATCTGATATCAGTTAAATGCAAAATGATGTTTATGCAAATCTAGAAAGGAACATAACAGCAAACTTTATTTAGTACTTGTTATTTGTCTGGAATTGAATTCATCTTGTTTAGAATAAAAGTAAAAATTCACAATATTATTTTAGATTTAAGTATATAACACAATAAATATAAGATACCTGAAAGATCCTGCCAGAATCTTCTCTATCTAGACACTAAGAAAATGAGAATATTTATTTATTGTTTATTTTTTATGTGTATGAGTGATTTGCCTGATGTATGTAAGTGCACCCATGTGAAGCAATACTCATGAAGGCCAGAAGAAGGAGTCAGATCCCCTGGAAGTGGAGTTATGGATAGTTGTTAGCCACCATGTAAATACTGTGAACTAAACCTGGGTCCTTTGCAAGAACAGACAGTGGTCTTAACCACTGAACTCTCCAGCCCAGAAAATGAGAATCTTAGCAACTTTAAATTTGCTTTGAATCTATTTCTTTTCATTATAAAGCAGTAGCTGAAAATCCCAAGAGATAAGATTAATAAACTTTCCCTCAGTGCCAGTAGGATAGTGTGCAGGAATATAGTCTAATCTTTCCTTTTACTCAAGTTAGAGAGCAGGTCTGTCAGTTTAAGTTTGAGACCAACTTCTTTTCTCAGAGCATTCTTTTTTTATTTTTTATTTTTAATCTTTTTTTTGAGACAAGGTCTCCCTGTAGCCTCAACTGGCCTGGAGCTCACTATGTAGACCAGGCTGGCCTTGAACTACAGTAATCCACCTGCCTCTGCCTCCCAAGTGCTGGGATTAAAGGCATACGCCACCACGCCCAGCTGTCAGAGCATTTTTTAAAAGTTAATTGATTTGGAAAAAATAAATAAATCAAATATCAAAACCCAACTGTGTGCTTTATTTAGAAAACTGAAAGAGAAAAATCATAAGTCAAAACTATGAAGTAGAATAACTTCAAAGCTGAATTCATTAAGCTGAAGATTAATTACCTGAAATCAATTGCATTGAGTCCAAGCAGCATGCCAGCAAGCATATTTGCTTCTTCACCCAGGACAATAGCTCCATCTTCATAAAATCTCCTAAAAGATGAAATGAATATATGAGCATGAAAAACAAACAAGGTTTGAGCTACAGTAATTACATCCCCCAAATAACACAGCAAATACTCAATTTTATTTAACTATTTTTTGGGGGGGTCTTTTTGAAACAGGGTCTCCCCGTAGCCCCCAGCTGGCTTGGAACTCACTATGTAGACCAGGCTGGCCTTGAATTCAGAGATTCGCCTGTCTCTACCTCCCAAGTGCTGGGACTACAGATGTGTGCCACCATGCCCAGCTATTTAACTAATTTTTTAATATTTGATAGCTGAAGTTTTAAAAATATTTAGACAAAAAATTTCCACAAAACCAAACAAATTCAAACTCATTGCCATAACTAAAAGTATTCAGTCTTTAAATATTTCCATCTCTCTAGAAAAAATTCCTAATGTGTGTCTTTCAATGGTCCCTGAATGCCCAGAAATTTCTCTAATAACAAAACAACATAAATGTCAAGTGAAAGGTGGTAAATTCATGTTTTATTTTAAGGGTATGTAGAAATTATTTGTACATTTACAATAAGAAAGTCTGTCCTTTAATTTTAAGGGTTACTGACTAAATTAAGAGTTTAAAAAGTATGAACTTTAGTAATTTATGATAACTTTAATACTGTACTACTAGTAGTACAGATGGGTTATCAAGGTGGCCGTCTACACAAAAGAAACAACTTACTATCTCTAACAAAAATAGGAGTATGAATCTGTCTTTGCTAATTCCTATATACTGTGTGTTTGTTAACATTAATTTTAAAAATTCTTTTGAAAAATAAATTAATTTTTCAGTAATAAAAAATTGCGCCAGGAATAGTGGTGCACACCTTTAATCCCAGCACTCCCAACTGAGGTAGAGTCAGAAGGATCTCTGTGAATTAGAGTTCCAGCCCAGTCATGGCTAGAGTAAATCCCTGTCTCAAAAACAACAAAACAACTTCTATTCTCAGAGCATTCTTTTTTATTTTTTATTTTTAAAATAAAAAATAGAAGGCAAACTATTTTCTCAAGCTCATGTAAATGAACTACTTAAGTAGGCAACTTAATTTTTACTTTAAAGTCTGTTTCTGTTAAACCATGCTACTTTTTATAAAAACAAAATAAAGAAAACTGAGTCTACATCATAGCTCACAAAGAATTTAAAAGTAATAAAATGTATGAAGAGGCTATATTTACAGTACCACACAAATTTCCTCCCATTGAGTGGGCCTTAATTCCAATTAGACAGCTGTTGATTACCCCCTGACCCACCCAAGATAAAAGTACCACTACTACACTAAAGATAGTTTGCTGGGCTGGTTGTTGTTTATTAGGTTTGTAGCAGGGTAGGACCACTGGCTGGTTTTCTACCTAGGCAATTTGCATAGTATCCTCAGATACCATCCTGATTAGTTCCAGCTCAATTGCTCCAAATCCTGTGTCTGAAGTGAGGCCTGTCTTCAGCAATAGGGTCTTAACCTTCAAGGTCTGGGAGACAATGAAAGGTTGTGGCAATAGCCTGTGTTACTTGAGGAGTCTCTTGAACTATCCTGAACAACAACTAGAAGGGAGGTTTCTCCTGCCTGATACAGTGTTCTTTGTTATACAAAGGCTGTTATACAGCCTTCAGCTATACACATGCATGCATAACACTATATATTATAATGTGTATTTTCAGTAAGACTTTGAACTAATACATTTCCCTCTGGTTTTTCATACCAACAAGTCCTATGCAATCAAATCAGACAAAAATCCCAGCATAGACATGGGGAAGTGGGTAAGAAATCTCAATCCAACCTAAGGAACTTTTGGCAATTTGTCAACTCTTAAAGAAAAATCAAACTTTAATTCCTTCTTCACGTGTCACCCAAAACACATTCTTTGCCTTGCCTGGATTTTTACCATCCACTTCTCAGTGCCTGTGAACATGTTGACTTTTTTCCTTTCTTGAGGGCTTCTGGATGGAAAGAGGAGTCAGTCTAGGCCCCTAAGAAGAAGATGCCAAAACAGCATTAAAGATGTAAGCATCTTGAGCAATGACATGGGTGCACTCACTTACATGCAGGCAATACACTCATACACATAAAATAAAAATAAAATATTAAAAAAATTTTTTAAAGTAATGAAAAGTATGATGAGAAAGTGAGAGCCAACTATTCTCTGACAGATGTATGCCTACAAAAAATATTGAAGAGGGGAATAAATATTTTCTATTTTCTTGGACCTATTGATAATTGCTCTTAGTGGTTTATATAAGAGGAGAAAAACTAAAACTTCCAGCTTAAATAGATTAGAAAAATAAGTGGAATGTTTTTCTATATTCAATTAAAGCATTCCACAAAAGATACTTAGACAAAAACATGTATTAGATTTTGTTCCAACTCTAATTTCTTGTTTATTAGCATAATATATTATAGACTCCTGGAAGAACTATGCTTCAAAAGGTTCATCTTTTTTTCTTTTTTTTTTTTTTTTTTGTTCTTTTGGAGACAGGGTCTCCCTGTAGCCCCAGCTGTCCTGAAACTCATTACGTAGACCAGGATGGCCTTGAACTCACAGAGATCGACCTGCCTCTGCCTCCCAATTTAAATACTGAAAATCTGGAAAAACAATTCCTAAAAGATTGACTTTTCTAGTAAACTGTAGCTCTTTTATGCAATGTATTGTGTCTATTATGTTGCTGTGAATTCACAGCTACAAATATAACAACTTTGAAAAAAGAGCCACCATTCTTTAACAGACTGTGCAAAGATAAAATGCCAAAGGAACAAGTTGGATGACTTTCAAATGATGAAATCTTTAAGAACCATAAAAAATTACATGAAAGGAACAAAAATGGATGTATATGTGTGTTCAGGTATATAGGCTGTATTCAAACTTTAGCACTAGGTCAGACCATTTTGTCATAAAGCATGTTGCTATTACATAATCGTTATATTGCTGTATTACGATTATTTTTGTAGAACTAGGGACTATACCTAGGTCCTCACACATACTATGGTAGTTCTCTACTACTGTTATATTACAAACCCCTTTATCATATTATGAAAGTGCATAATGTCAAAGAATGGAATCACAAGCAATCAAAAGTAGCTTTATCTATTAGGCAAGGAAACACTCTACAGGATATCTCTCTGTTGTCTTTCATTGAATGCACCGGTAGCAACTTTGAAATGAAAATAAATATAAGAACAGAGACAAGGAGCAGTGATTCATTTTACTTTCCCCATTTACTGAAGGAATCCAAATCAGTGTACCATGGAATATCTGTACATCTGTGTTTATTTTGGTACTATTCACAGTAGCCAAGATAGGGAATCAGCCCAGATGTTCAACAACAGATGACTGAATAAATGTGGTATGAGGTTGGAGAGTTGGCTCAACAGTTAAGGCTTCTTGCAGAGGACCCAAGTTCTGTTCCCAACACCCATATAGTAGCAAACAACCATATGTAACTCCAGTTCCAGGGGATCCTGTTGGTCTCCCCTCGGCCCAGACTCTGCTGCTACAGCTGCTACCAGACCTTGTGCACTTGTCTCCATCAGGGAGACCATCAGGGACCAGGGTGAGGAGAGAGAGATGGGGAGAGAGGAGCCTCAGGCTGCAGTGAGTAGGGCGGGAAAAACACCCGGGAGACTGTTTCAGCGGACAGCTCATTTATTATGACAGAAGTAGAAGTTTATATAGGAAAGTTTCACAGGCAAAGAGGCAGGGTTGGGTTTCTGGGGGGCAGGCAGGTAGGGGGATGGAGGGGGCTTCTAAGGCTACATGGTCTTTGTCCTGTCATCTGGTCACATGATCTATAAGAGACCCAGTTAGGATTAAGGGATTAGAGACCTAATAGTTTTGCCTGGGGGCTGTTGGGTAAGAGACAGTGTGTTTAGAATGGAGAGAGCCTGGCTCCTGCCATCCTCACTGGGAGGTCTCCAACGTGGCCATGCTCTACATTCCAGGCACTCCTGACTTATCCCAACATCATCCAATGTCCTCTTCTGGTCTCTACGGGCATTGCAGGTATAGGGTGTGCCTACTACATACATGAAGGCAAAACACTCAAACACATAAAAAATAAAAAAAATATTTATTCATAAATAAATACTTTAAAATGTAGCATTTATAAACAATAGATGGGCCTAGTTGGGTTTAACTATCAATTTGATAGCCCAGCATCACCTGAGAGAAAAGCCTCAATTGAGGAATTGCTTAAATCAGATTGCCCTGTGGGCTTATCTGTGGGGGGATTTGATTATTAATTGATGCAGGAAGGCCTAAACCCACTGTAAGCAGAAACATCTGTAGGCAGGTGGTCCTTGGCTGTATAAGAAAGCTAAATAAAAAGAAAAAGAAAACAAAACAACAACAAAAAAAGAAACTAAGCCTAAGTGCTTGGGTGAGTAAGCCAGCAGGTCCTGTTCCTCCATGGTATCTGCTTCAAGTTCTGCTCTATCTTCCCTCAATGATGGACTTTGAAGTGTAAGCCAAATAAACCTTTTTATCCCCTGTGTTATGTCTGGTCATGATGTTTACCATAGCAACAAAAATGAAACTAGAACACTGGAGTATTTGTTTTTTTAATTAAAAAAAATTATTCATTATTTTTATGTGTATACATGTATTGCCTGCATGTAGGTAAGTACACCCGTGTCATGCAATGCCCACGGAGGTCAGAAGCGGCTGTCAGATCCCCTGGGACTTGAGTTATGGACAGTTGTTAGCTGCCATGTGGGTGCTGGGATTCGAACCCAGGTCTTCTGCAAGTACAACCAGTGTTCTTAACCGCTGAGCCATCTCTCCAGCCCCAACAGTGGAGTTTTATTAAAGCAAAATTATGTCATTTTCAGAAAAGGAACTGGGGATAATCATGCTAAATGAAATAAGCCAGACTGAGACAAATATTACGTTTTCTCTCATATGCAAATATAAATTTATTTGTTTATATATTTGTACATATATATGACATGAAAGCAAAAGGGGGGTATTTTGGAAAGGGGGTATAAGAAAAGCTAATGGAAA